ATAGAAAATAATTAACTTATTGTAAAGGTGTGGATTAAAACCCGCAAGATCACTTATTCATTTTGAATTCCGACCACTAAACTATTTAATACAAAAAAATACGTGATCATAAATAATTTCATTGATACAATAATTAATTGGAATAATTAATTAGATGATGAAATTGAAACACATAAATATTAAAAAAATTTAAAGAATTTATAAAAAATTATAATTGTTGGGAAGGGATGGGTATAAAATTGTCCTCATAGACAAATCATTAGATTATAATATAGAGCATTAAAAAAAGTTATCAAACATATAAATTTACTATTTTTAAAAATAAAGTTATTTGACTTTTCATGATTTAAACTTGTCAAATTATTAATTTCTTTCTTAAAACTATTTTAATTATGAACAATTGACATCTATCAAAATATTTAACAAAGTAACTTTATGTTTTCAAATTCTTACATCTCTATAATCTATATACTCATGTATACAACTATATAGTTAATTTTTTTAGCTGTGTTTTCTTTTGAATAGCCAAAACCAATATATAAGAAACATAAGACAACTAAAAAAACTTAACCGCAAGAGGTTAAAATCATGATCCGAAAGGTTTAAATATGACATCAATTAACTCAATTAAAAAAAAGAAAATTAATTTTTGTAATCAAAATATATTTTGAAAGTATATAAGGAATAAGGATACACACCTATATTAGGTTAAAACGTTAATTCAAATATAATAATGAAGTATTGATATCTCTATATGTGAAACCCGGCTCTTACATAGTCCGATTACTCAAAAGCCATAAAGCCCAAAATACAACCAAACAAACATTTTTAGATAAACTATCGATTTATTTCTTATATTCAATTTAATCTTAATCTTTATAATATACAAATATAAATAGTTTTTTCTATATAAAAAATATAAAATACGTGAATGAAATTTATTAAGTATCTAAAATCTGTTAATTGAGCTCTTAACATGCTGATAATAAAGACTAAATTGACAGATTATATATATTTTAATGAATGTTTGTTATAATTATATATTTTAGAAAATATATTGATGGCTTATTTAAATATTTTAATGTTAATTTTTTAATTTCACAAAAATATTACATGATTTGATCTTTATTTCTTGTATTAAACAAAGTGTATAAATATTTCTATAAATCTTGAACATGAAAAAAAAGAAAAAAAGAAAATATTGTTAGAGAAAGAAAATTACTATCTGGTATATAATGGAAGCAACGGTAATAGTCATGAATTTTCCGGCATAAGAATCTGAAATGAAAGCACCAAGCAATGGTGTCAAGCTTGCAGTTCCACCAAAGTTAGTGAGAGTGTTAGCAGCTTTGGTTAATGGCATGTGAAGCTCTTTTGTTAGGTAACTTATCATGTTTGTATTGAAACCCACCACAGCTAACTTCTCACAAACCTCATTAGCTGCAAAAAAGAAAAAATAATCAAATATCTAAGCTTAATTATCTAATACAAAACCATGATTTCCAGAATTTATAAGTATGTTAAAAAATACTATGAAGCTAGTTAGCTTACCAAAGATAAAGGGCATTGTGACAAGCCCTCCTTTCTTCTTTCTAGGATGATTACCATTCTCCTCCATCTTCTCAAAACTTTGTTCTTTTCTCCGGTGCATATAATGGCTATTGGTCTCGATATTTATAGGATAAGTTTGTGGTTTCGAGATCAATCACAGAAACCATATTGTCAAGCGTTCATACTACCACTTGTTGAGTTATAATAGCCACAAAATAATAAGATTATATTTTCTTTCGAATTATAAAATAATTTAAATTTTCTTTTAGAATAATTTATGTATTTGAAAAAAAAATTACAAAAATAACCACCTTTTAAAAAAAATTACTAAAATGACGTAGTTTTTGTATACTTTAACAAGGATGCGCCATATGATATGACAAATGTACTTTGGTTTGTAGGTACGTCATATCATATGGCTTAAACAATTAATAAAAGTCATATCATATGGCGCCACATCCTTTGGTCTGCATGCATGCACCCTATGATATATATATGGCGTCTCCTTGTTTTATGTATACTTTTTTTAATTTTTTATTAATTAATCTTACTACCCTCTTCTATATATACCACCACTTGTATATGTATGTATCTACAACAATGTCTAAATTTTCTCTGCACCCATTCTCTTCATATTTCAAATGAATTCCTCTTCTTCCTCCTCTTCTTCTTTTTCTTCCTCTTCGTATGCCTCATATATCTATCAGGTTTCATATATAACAAAGAGAATGAAAATTTAATTTTCTCCCCAGTCAATGACGTTAGAACATCTCAAGAGGAGTCTGATCCCCTGGTTAGATGGAGACATCCTAGAGGGTGAAAAGATAAGAAGAATTGAAAGGCTTGGTACGACGTTTAACCAAAATGGAGAAGTTCGCTTATAGGAGAATGTTACTAATGTCCGAGATGTTCAAACGTTGATGTTTAGTTCTCAAGAAATTATGTTGATGGTTGTAATCTCTTAGTTATGTTGTTGAGCTGTTGTATTTGTTTATTTTGTTTCTTTTTTATTGTTTAAGTTATTATTAATTATTCTTGTTGAGATATTAAGTTATGATTATTTAAGTTATGTCATTGTTAATTGTAATCGCTTAGTTATGCTATTAATGGAATGAAATTTGGTGTTGATATAAAGAGAGTTACATTTGAAACTATGAAGTTGTGCTTGATCCTACATTGGGATATTTTGTACGATTGTGCCCGGGCTGACGGCACGAACTACATAATCTGACCATTTTGTTTGTCGTATCCATTTCCGTTCGAATACGCGTGCTATTAGGGCGGCCCTTTTTCTTTCTTCGCATCAGATCATTATGCCAGACAATTTCACCTTTGTATGCAGGCCAATACTCTTCCTTTGCTACCACCTGAAAGGTAGTGTTGTAGATATTGCATAGACTAATGACTTGATAAACTGCAGACATATAGTTGGTAGGGTCCTGGCGAACCTTTGAACATGCTGCTATTACATGGGAGTAAGGCATACGAAATGCATGAAACTTTCCACAGTCAAGCCAACTCTTATCTAGTTCCACTTGGTAGCATCCCCTAAGCCTCCCTTCGCTGTGATTAATTGACTCAGCAACACTGAACCAACCTTTATTATGGTCAAATACTGTGACCACATGTGTGTTAGCTTTCGAAGCTTCGTCTTTCATGAATTTCATTGAACTATCACTGAACAACTGCCCAGATTGTAAGACAGAACTCCACTTTGTACGTCTGATATCATAAAGTGCCCCGAGTCTAAAATATGTTGCCCTTATCAAAGCGGTTACCGCTAGGTTTTGGATGCCCTTGAATACAAAGTTCATTGATTCAACGAGGTTTGTTGTCATGTGGCCCCATTGTTGTCCGTTATCGTATGCCATGGTCCATTTCTCTAGTTGAATATTATCGATCCATCTTAATGCATCTGCGTTTTTCAATCTGATTTCGTCACGGTAGTGTTTGAAGGAATGCTCTACACTACATTCACAACCTTCTTCCGCAGCATCTTGTCCTTGATCTCCCTCATGAAATTTTGTGTGATGTGTCTTATGCAATACACATGCGTTGATGAGGATCCTGCCAACCATTATCATGATTCTTGTATGCACTCTCGATTGATGGGGATAAATGATTCAAAATTTGTCAGATACGCCAAGATTCTCTCAACAAATACCTTTTCCGCAAGGCAATACGCAAATACCACAAACACCTCAACAAAATCGTGGTAGACCTCGACATCGTGCTAATGCGTCGGAATGTGAAACCGGGCCACGTTTTGATCGGGCCGATCATTAATTTTTTTTCTCATTTGTTGTAAACCTTTTTATATTTAAATAATATCTTTAATTATTTGTTATACATTTTTTCATGAATTTTTTAAAGTATTTTCGATTTTATTTTCTAATTAATTAAAAAATTAAATAATAATAATAATAATAATAAGGAGGAGGAGGATGCGCCATCCTATATGGCGGGATGGCGCATGCATTCCAAGTCTTAAGTGTTGGCGCCATTTGATTTGGCTATACCTTGTATATGTTCCAAATTAAATAGTGCATGCTCTTCAAGTTTATGGCACAATAAGTGTTGGCGTCATTTGATTTGGCGTATGATCTAATTTCCTCTCTAAAACTATGCCACTTTAATAAATATTTTTAAAAAAAAATTTATTTTAAAAATTAAATTGAAAATATACGTTATTTTAAAAATAATTCAAATAATTTGGCTTGAAGTAATTTCAGAATAAAATATAATTATAAATCTGATATATATATATATATATATATATATATATATATATATATATATATATATATATATATATATATATATATATATATATATATATATATATATATATATATATATATATATATATATATATATATATATATATATATATATATATATATATATATATATATATATATATATATATATATATATATATATATATATATATATATATATATATATATATATATATATATATATATATATATATATATATATATATATATATATATATACAATAGTTTGTAGGTATTGGACAAGATAGTTGTGTCATGTTATATACTATACTTTATCTCTCTCTTAGACAACTTGCAATGTATTACTACAGTGTTCATTTTATTTTTGTAATATAAAATTATTATGTTTTGATAGCAAAGTGCTATTGAAATCCACAAAATTGATATAATATATTATACTGACACATATAAGTGAAAAGAGAAACAATATTTTACCTTTTGTATTTCACATAAATTTGTATTTTCTCCAATCTTAATTATAAAACAGTTTATTCTTTTTAAATATAATAATTATTTATATATAATTTAAATACAAAATTTATTCAATTTATTTAAAAAGTGATTTTTTTCATATAATAAAAATCAAAGTGAGTATTATCACTAAAAAAAAAGTGTTATTAACTAAGGGTTAAATCTCTTACTAATGTAAAGAAAAAAGAAGAAAAAAAAGCGTGGGAAAATGACCCCTAGTTAAAGAGTGTGTCACAAATAAATGATTAGGGGTTAAGTCCCTCGTAAAATTGACTAAGGGATAAGCCAATGTCTTTTTCAATATGTTCTATCATACATCCAACTACGATAGAAATGATCATATTTTATACTGCACGTGTACAACGTTTTTCATATTTAAATTTAATAAATAATAAGGATATTGATCTAGCGATAAATAATAGGAGCTTGTTCTATCGATAAATAGTAGAGGAATTGATCTATCAATAACATCATATAACTAGCTTATATTACTATACACTTAATTTTGCTAGGGACAGCCCCTCTAAGATTGCTATGGTTAATGGCTTTTTTTTTAACGATCAATAGGCCATTAGGGGTTGCCGCTTGCAATCCTAAATTTCAAAATTTCAAAATCCCTTCATTTTGTTTGTGATCCCCACACAGTCTTTTTTTTCAAAAATTTTGTATTTTGTTTTCTGTTTTGTCATTAGTGAGGAGTGTATCCTCATAAAACCTATGCATTTAGTGAGGGGTGAAGTAGGAAAAGCAGGACCATAAATAGTGATAGGCGAGAGATGTAGGCGGAGAACCACTAATGTATAAATTAACGTCAGTATAATTACAAGGGATAATGGTTCAAAGCATAACTACCTAAACTTTCGATTAAACTTTTTGGTATCCTTAGTTAAATTCAAATCGAAATATACTTAATTCTATTAATATTCTTTTCCTCTCCTTTTCTGGAATTGATGTGTTGTCATTATTAGAACTAGTGAGAGATTGTTGTAAATTATTAAGAATTAATAATCTTAAATGTGTTCTAAAATGTCAAGAAAATATGCAAGTGAAGATTAATTTTAAATTATGAAATAAACAATATTGTTGCAGGCGAAACAATGTAATTTTTGGCAAATGATGACAACCGAAACTTCCGTTGAAAAAATCAAAAACAAAAATCATCATCATCATAAATCCAAATACATTTTTATTGTTTCTAAAAGAAATTGAACATTGTAAAAATCATAGATCGTATATATAATGATTAAATAATATAAAAGCATATTTAAGTATATAAAAAGAAAATTCATATAAGCCTTCATGTACAATGCTTATCGTAAAAATAAACTATGAAAAGTCTTTGGTAATATATCATGCTTTTTACTGTAAGTGCATTTGATGAGATTGTAGTTTTCATTATGGAAGTGTTAGAAAATTAAATAATGGATCGTAGCTTTTTACTGTACGTGCATTTAATTTTAATATATTTTCAAACCTTTTCTTAGGTGGATATATAATAGTTTTTTATAAGCAAATAGGATTAATTAAAACGACGGCATAAAGGGTGCACAATCCTTACAACAGAAAACATAATACAACGCAAAAATCAACCAAAAAACTAAATCAGACAAAAAGAAAGAGCCACCCCACTAACCCGCATCACCCAAAGATTGGGACACACCAATCCGTCAAGATTGCGAGCAAACTGCAACTTTACCTACATTGATCCAATCCAACACCAACCTCTTAATCATCTCTAAACCGTCGAACTTGACTAGAGATCCTCCATCGAAAACAATTGAGTTCCTACAAAACCAAATCGTCCAACAAATAGCAAGGTCAAACGACCACCCTAGCTTCGCCTTAAACTTCAAACTAACCGCTACCTCAAGCTCTTGTATCCTAATAATAGGACTCATCAAATCTAGATTAAGATCAATATGCAGCCAATCTAGAGTTGAATCCACCAAACCATCGAAACATAACAAGAACCAAAAAGATGTTTCAAATCCTTGATCATCCCATTACAAAGCGGACAAATTAAATTAGAAATTTCGATCAACACGCCACGACGCTCAAGATTAATTCTAGTAGGAAGGCGATTCAACATAATCTCAAACCAAAAATTAACAATTTACTAGGAACCTTCGACTGCCATAATCCCCACAGCGACTCCAACACTGTCGCATCTAAAGATTGACTAATAAGACATCATTCTGTTATCCTACTGTAACACGATTTAACCTAAAAACCTTCGGATTCCCCCTCCAGCCCACGCTATCTGGCTGCTTCCCCATAGCATTCTGCAGCAACATCGTTGTCTGCAGTAGGGGTGCTCGCAGTTCGGTTTGGATTGGTTTTGAAGTAAAATTCATCCGATCCAAAGATATATTTACTTGCGGTTTGGTTCGGTTTTGGATGATTGGTTAAAAAAAATCTGATCCGATCCAATTTCTTGCGGTTTGATTTGGATCAGTTTTTTGGATATCCAAATTAGAAATTATAATTTTATTAATATTGTAAGAACACTAATAAATAATAAATTTGATGTAATATATAACATATACTTTATTAAAAATTAATATTACAAAATGATAATGATCAGTCATGATTGAAACAAATGAAATAATAAAAATTAATAGATTAAATCAAACTAATAAATAATATTTTATAAAAAAGTATCAACTAATAATAAATTAACACAACGTATTATACTAATAAAAAATAAATAAGTATAAAAATATATACAAGCGGTTTGGTTTGTATCAGTTTTGAAAAATCAATCTGAAATCCGATCCGAACCGATTGGTCTTTATAAAATGACATCTAAACACATCCAATAATTTTCGGTTATTTGCGGTTTTCAGTTTTTTGGATCGGTTTGCGGTTTTTATTTGGATTGGTTTGGATTTGAACACCCCTAGTCTGCAGCACATCAAGCTGCGAAAATCTACAAGCTGCAATGGACCAGCCTGTAAAGATATCTCCTACCTCCACTATTCATCTTCCCATCTACCATTATGTGCTATCATGTTTTGACTTGGATCCGCCATGAAGAAAATAGATCTGTACTTCCTACATAATGGTGAATCTTCAAGCCAACAGTCCATCTAAATATCAACTGAGACACCATTACCTAAATTAAAAACTATTGAATTAACAAACCAATTATCGACATCCGACAAAACTCCCACCTTGCACAAATCCTTCCACCACACTGAGGCATTCTTTCTCACATGATGACGAGAATCCGCAAGCATAAGTCTCTTGATATTTTCATATCTAAAAGATAAAAGGTTAACCATATTGTATGCAAATCATTCAAAGTACGCCATTTCCATTTACATAAAAGGGCAAGATTAAAAATTCCACAATGTTTGATTCCGAAACCACCTTCCTTCTTTGAAAGACAGACGGTATCCCAACCAACCCAACTGATCTTCTTCCTCCCCTCACGAGCACCCCACATAAAATCTCTTTGAATCAAATAACATCCTTAATGATCTTCTTCGGAGCTTTAAAAAAAGGAAAAATAGAACATCAGAATGGTTGAAAGAATAACATTAAAAAGCACAACTCTTCCTCCTATTGAAAGATTAGAATTATCCCAAGATGAGAGTCTCATCCTCAACTTCGAAAGAATCAGAGTCCAAATCTCTTTCCTCCTTGGATTAACTCCACCGGAACACCACGACTTGCACGAAAACGGAGTCCAGATTTACCCCCACAAGCCTACTCTTATACAATTTAATGCGCAACCCCAAAACTAACTTGAACCCTCTATGTAACGCCTTGATGATCCAAAGATTCTCCCACGAACCATCATCGATCAACATATTATCGTCTGCAAATTGGAGAATTTCAAAATGAACCAAATCATTGAAACGAAAACCTACAACCTCACCCAACAATGATGTTGTCCTCATCCTTTCCAAAAGACCTTCTGCCACTAACAAGAAAAGAAAATGGGATAGGGGATCCTCTTGCCTAAGGCCTTTAGAAACGACAAAATTGTCTGTTAGACTTCCATTTACTAGCACGGATATCGAGCTGTTAAAAATGAGAGCTTCCATATACATCCTCCACCGAGCCCTAAATCCCATTCTAACCAATAAAAATCTCAAAAAATTCCAGGAAACACAATCACAAGCTTTTTCAAAATCGACCTTCACCATCATACAACTTCTATTAACCTTTTTAGCACAATAAAGAATCTCGTTGATCATAAGTACCCCATCCATCACTTGCCTATTTGGAATGAACGATGATTGGGAAGAAGATATTAACTCACCATCCCCCCCTCCCCCCCCCCCCCCCCCCCCCCCTCGCGTTTTAGCAGCGTTGCCTTTTCTACACGTCATTGATTTTTTTTCTTAGCGTTTTGTGGTAAAAGTGTTGTCTGTTAGAACACAGATTGATGTTTAAATATATCTCATTGTTTTGATGATAACACTAATGAAATTTTGTATTAAGAAAATATATACTCTAATTTTGTTCAAGTGTTTTTGTTTCAGATATTAAAATTGAATATTCTGATAAAGGCAAAAATGCATCTGAACGTTCTCTACGCAAGGCTCTGAAGCATCAGAAGCAACTCATCAGAAGATTCTGAGCGCTGCTAGAAGACTCTGAAGCAGAAGCTGCAGAAGACTCTGAAGCAGAAGCTACAGAAGACTCTGAAGTAGAAGCTGCAGATGCATCTGAAGCGTAGCTGAAGATTTTGTATGAAGAGTTTCAAGCATTGTTTCAGAAGACTCTGAATGTACTTTACGCTGCAAGTACAGAGGCTCTGAATAACCAGTATGCTCTGATCAGATCACTCACGCTAAAGCACTATGGCTGCAACTCTGATTTCATTGAATCTGATCTGAAGAACCAGAAGCACATCAGAGGATCTAATGTGGTTTACATTTGAAAAGATGTCACGTGAATAGACTTGGTACTATTCTCAACGTCCTCTCCAACGGAACTATTCCTTATTTGTGATAGACACAAGGATTCAGGCAAAAGGCATTTCTCTGAACATTCTACTTGTGAGAAAGGAAAAGTCATGTGAAGACAAAAGGCTACAGCTACTCTACTTGCACAGTCTTCAAGCTTTGGACTCTCAGCACTATAAAAGGACGTTCTCTAAAAGCCAACGATCTATTGAAAAGCTCATTGAAATTATTCTCAACTCTCATACAATCATTCAAAGCTGAATAGTTTTATTTTCTCTTAAACTTAAGTGTAAAAATCACAGTTTGTGATATAGCTTTTTAGAAGCATCAAACACACTTGTTAGTTTACATTTATTTATAAAGGTTCCTTAAGAAGACAAAGTTGTGGTCAGTAGTTCTTGAGAAGACTAAGACAGTTGTTCTTAGTGGTTGTCATTGTAATCTGTTTGATTATAGTGGATTAAGTCCTTGAGGAGAAAGGTAAATCACTCTTGATAGGGTGGACTGGAGTAGTTGAGTTCAACGAACCATGATAAAAATCATTGTGTTTTTATTGCCATAGTATTTTCTAAACCCGTATTCAACCCCGCCCCCCTTCTAAGTGTTTTCTCACCTTCTGTTGGTATCAGAGCTCTGGTTCTGTTAGTGCTATCACTTCACCATGAACAGAAAAGATCCAATTGATAAAACTCTTGATATTTTTGGTTGATACATTATGGTTGAAGCTTCAACATCCAACAACAACAGATATGAGGACAGAAATAGAATCAGCACTAAACCCCCTATGTTTGATGGGGAGAAATTTGACTACTGGAAAGACAGGATTGAAAGTTTCTTTCTAGGATATGATGCTGACCTTTGGGATTTAATCATTGATGGCTATGTTCACCCCACTGATGGGGATGCCAAAAAGATAGACAGAAAATCTATGACTGAAGCTCAGAAGAAAGAATTCAGGAATCATCATAAAGCTAGAACCATACTTCTAAATGATATATCTCATATTGAGTATGAGAAGATTACTAACCGAGAAACAACATTTGGTATGTTTGAATCTTTGAAGATGACTCATGAAGGGAATTCTCAAGTCAAAGAGACCAAGGCTCTGGCGTTGATCCAAAAATATGAAGCCTTCAAAATGGAGGAATCCGAATCTGTAGAAGTTATGTTCTCTAGATTCCAGATTCTCACAGTTGGCTTGAAAGTTCTGTCAAGGGTTACTCCACTGCAGATCATGTTAAGAAGATCATCAGAAGTTTGCCTATCAGATGGAAACCGATGGTCACTGCTCTGAAGCTATCTAAGGATCTGAACAAGATCACGTTGTAGGAACTGATCAGCTCTTTGAGGAGTCATGAGATTGAATTAGAGGAAGACGAACCCCAGAAAAAAAAAGTAAGTCTATTGCTTTAAAGTCTAACAAATCTGCCAAAGCTTTGCAGGTTTTAGAAGAAAGATCTGAAGAATCTTCTTCTGAAGAAGAAGATGAACTATCCCTGCTGTCCAGAAGGATCAACAAACTCTGGAAGCATAAACAGAGGAAGTTCAAGAACTTCGAGAAACCAGATCAACGTAAAGAGTCTTCTGGACACAGAAGATCTGGAAAGAAAGAGGTTGTCTGCTATGAATGCAAGGAACCTGGGCACTACAAGAATGAATGCCCAAAGCTTCAGAAGGAGAAGCCAAGAAGGAAACCTGATCATAAAAAGAAAGTTCTGATAGCAACCTGGGATGATTCAGATGCATCTGAATCTTCATCAGACTCAGATGAAGAATGTGAAAACATGGCACTCATGGCTGACGTAGAAGACCATGCAGAATCATCTGGATCAGAATCAGAATCAGATTCTGAGGAGGTATTTTTTGAACTTTCTAGAGCAGAGCTTATTGAGAGTTTATCAGAAATGTTAGAAAACTATAGTAAGATTAAGCTCAAGTATAAGAAGCTTGAAAGCAATCTTATATCTGAGAATGATCTTCTTGAATCTGAAATGGCTGAGCTTAAAGCAGAAAATTTTAAATTGAAAAATGATTTTGAAAAAGCTCAACAAGATTTTGAATCTGAAATTAAGTCAAAATCTAAAAACATTTTAGAAGAATATGACTATAGTTTTCAGAAGTTTCTGTCAAGAAGCATAGATAGAAGCAAGATGGCTTCAATGATCTATGGTGTTAGCAGAAACAATAGGAAGGGAATTAGATATGAATCTTCCTCTAGAAAGGATTTAAATCCAACACCTGTTGATAAACTCATCATTAAGCATACTCCTTTATATACTCATTTTAAGTTTGGTCAACTTAATGATATTAAACACACTAGTTCTGATAAGAATATTTCTGTGTTTAAACCTAAAGTTAGTTAGAACAAACCTGCTGTCAGAAGACAGAAGTTCAGACAAAACTTTAAGGCAACTAACCCTAAAGGACCCAAAAAGATCTGGGTACCTAAAGACAAAATAATATCTGTTGCAGACATCTTTAGCAGCAAAGTCAAAACACCAATCTTGGTACCTGGACTCTGGCTGCTCGCGTCACATGACGGGAGAAATGTCTATGTTCCAAAGCCTGGAGCTTAGATCTGGAGGAGACGTCAAGTTTGGAGGGAACCAGAGAGGCAAGATAGTTGGCTCTAGAACTATTGGCAATGGTAATCTTCCTTCCATTTCTAATGTCTTACTAGTTGAAGGATTAACACATAACTTATTGTCCATAAGTCAATTAAGTGACAATGGTTATGACATAATCTTCAATCAAAAATGTTGCAAGGCTATTAGTCAGAAGGATGGCTCAATCCTATTTAATGGAAAGAGGAAGAACAACATTTATAAAATCAATCTTTTAGAACTTAAGGTTCAAAATGTAAAATGCCTTATGTCTGTTAATGATGAGCAATGGGTCTGGCACAGAAGATTGGGGCATATTAGTATGAGACGTATATCTCAGATTAATAAACTCAATCTGGTCAGAGGACTTCCTCAGTTGAAGTTCAACTCAGATGCTCTTTGTGAAGCATGTCAGAAAGGAAAATTTTCAAAATCTTCTTTTAAAACTAAAAATGTTGTTTCAACCTCAAGACCATTAGAGTTACTTCATATTGATATGTTTGGACCAGTGAAAACTGCATCCATCAGAGGCAATAAGTATGGATTAGTCATTGTTGATGACTACAGCAGATGGACGTGGGTGAAATTCCTAAAACACAAGGATGAGTCACATTCTGTGTTCTTTGACTTCTGCAAACAAGTCCAGAATGAAAAAGATTTTAAAATTGTTAAAGTCAGAAGTGATCATGGTGGCGAATTTGAAAACAAATATTTTGAAAAATATTTTAATGAAAATGGCATTGCTCATGATTTCTCCTGCCCTAGAACTCCTCAACAGAATGAAGTTGTAGAGAGGGAAAATAGAACATTGCAAGAAATGGCCAGAACCATGATCAACGAGACTAATCTGGCAAAACATTTTTGGGCAGAAGCAATAAACACAACTTATTATATTCAGAACAGAGTGTCTGTAAGACCTCTTCTGGAGAAGGCTCCCTATGAATTGTGGAGGAACAGAAAGCACAACATTTCTTATTTCCATCCTTTTGGATGTGTATGTTTTATGTTGAATACTAAAGAGAATCTGAACAAGTTTGATTCTAAAGCACAGAAGTGTTTCATGCTTGGGTATTCTGAACGCTCTAAAGGCTACAGAGTATACAATACTGAGACACAGATTGTGGAGGAATCTATACATGTTAGATTTGATGATAAGCTTGGCAATCAAAAGCCAAAGCAGCTTGATAATTCTGCAGATAGAGAAGTAATTCTCACAGACTCTGAAGGCTCAGAGGCAGAAAAGGTTCAAGTGAAAGAACCAGAAGCAACGCCAGATGCAACTCCATTGGCTGCTCAGATGAACAATTTGAATATTTCTGAAGAACCTAATGTTAGAGGATCATCTTCCAGAATCAAGGCCTCTCACCCAGAGGATGTGATAATTGGGAAGAAGGATTACCCTATTAGAACAAGGTCTTTCCTCAGATCATCTGCAATGTCACTTTTTGGGTTGGTGTCTGTCATTGAACCAACTTCTGTTGATGAAGCTCTGAATGATAATGAGTGGATACTTTCTATGCAAGATGAGCTAAATCAGTTCACCAGAAATGACGTTTGGGATCTGGTACCAAGACCAAAAGGATTCAATATTATTGGAACCAAATGGGTCTTCAGAAACAAATTGAATGAGCAAGGAGAATTTGTAAGGAACAAGGAAAGGCTTGTTGCTCAAGGGTATAGTCAGCAAGAAGGAATTGA